TTTAGTTTAAGTATTCTTTCCTTAATAAATAATTTGTTAATTGGCTTTGTTGTGTGCGTCTCCCTCCTGTTTTGTCACAGCCGTATGGCCCGGTTTGTGACAAACTTTAAAGGCTTTTAAGGATATGGCAGATGGTTTTGGTTTTTGATGGTTTTTATCTGACCAAACATATCTGCAACATGTTCACTGGCAAGATTTTTTATTTGCTTATGATATTGTAGCAACTAAAGCACAATTAATGTTTATATGGTTTAGTAAAAGCAACTCAAAGCACTCAGAGGAACCTTGTTGTGTTTGTCAAATATTGAAAAAGTCCGCTGTGATACGAGACAGGACTTTTCCTTTGTCTATATTTAACCACCATGTCCTTCAACAGTGCTGAACTCCTGAACTCTGGTGTAGGCTGAAAATGAATTAATACGTGATAATGTAAACAGATTATTTAACAAATCCCTTGTATGAGCAAAGAACCACTTGCAATTTGGTTTCCCCAGTTTGAATTAATTTACACAAACAAACTTCTCAATATCACTGTGAAGGTTCTTTTGTGGCTTGTTCTTTGACGAACTGATCCTTTTCTCACCAGCTGAGGCCTCGGGGGTTTGCATAATAAGCTCTGATACAAACGGAGACCTTGCAACACCAAAAGCTAATTATGAGCCTGCTTCATGTGCTTTAGTAAAGTAATGACTTGTGAGCCAGTGTCTTTCAGATGCGTGTCAGGTAAATTGGGGTCGACAAGGTCACATTAACAGACAATTAATAAAAAAAAAAACAGCTTTTGAATTACTGAATCTTGAAGTTATGAAATAGGTTGTCTTTTTTCAGTACAACATGACATCAGCTGCCCCTTTGTTTCACCACTGATCTTAAAGTACAAGTCTGGTGATATTACGGCTGTGTATCATTTAAAAAATGATGAATACCAATACTAGTACCCCTAAAGTGATAGATACCAGTACCAATACCAGTACCACCTAAAGTGATACTGATACCAAATAGTAAATGGACTGTACTTGTCCACAACAAATCCCATGAAGAGACCCAAACCAACAAAGCCTGATCAACAAGTACTGAGAGATGGACTACTTTGATCTTTTCATGGGATTTCTTGACAAGCATGGACATTTAGAAAAAGGCTAGTTTCATCACTGAACAGAGTCAAGAAATCCTGGTGACATACCAGCTGTTTAAGTCTTGTTCAATCAAACCATAATCTAGAAGTGGAAATCGAACTCACTATATTGATCATGGCTGCCAGGAAGTTGATGAGGATTGATATGAAGATGATGACATTTCGCGCTGCGTAGGTCTCGTTGATCCAGCAGCAGGCTTTGCGCAGGACCAAAGGAAGACACTTGTAGTCTTCCGCAGTTGTAACTAGGACCAGACAGGAGTGGAGGAAGATGAGGACCGAGAACTGGATCACCATGGTTACCATCCTGCAAAAAGCACACAAAAATAAAGAAATAATAATAATAATAATAATAATAATAAGAATAATAATAAGAATAAGCATCAGCTGGATTGGACTTTCCCAACATTTAAAAATGTTTTTATATATTTTATTTAATATTCTAGTAATTAGATCAATATCCCAATAAAATAGCGGTTGAAAACATTTGGATGGAAATGCAAATTTTCCAACTTATCCTGTATACAGTTGGTTCTTTGCTCTTCGGAGCAAAAAACACAGACTGCTAAACACTCCAGGAGTCACATTTTAGCGAATAACAAGGAATACATAGGAATACTTAAAGCGCACATCCGTGCTAAAACTCAGAAGCTGTTGCTAGTTGAAAAATAAAAAAATAAGCCTGGTTTGCTCTGGAAAAAGTGCAAACTTTTTTTCTGCCCAGTAGAGTAGTGCTAGTACTCTATCTATATCTATATCTGTATTTAAATACAGACAGTCCTGTTCCAAAACCTTTCAAATGTGTTTCAGAGAGAGTTTCACTGAGAACTGAAAAGGTGTGGTGGGACTTTTTCAGTTGAACCGTCCACCAGGTCGACATAATTTACCTTGCAGATGGAAGCAGGCTTTGGATGGTGGTGATGAATATGAGCACGATGAAGGCGCACACCAGGTTGGACTTGAACACCTCGTCTCTCATCTGGGAGTACTGCACCATGAAAGGGAGAAGAAGAAGAGAAAGAAGGAGGAAGAGGGAGGTGAGGGGAAGATGGGGAAACAAGTTTTCAGACAAACGAGAAGACTGGACACATTGAAATGCTCCTCAACCACACCAACGCAACGACACAGACACATGCAATGGTTCAACCACAAGCGTTAGAGAGAGACAGGAGCCGGTGGGTTAGCTGTGGGGTCCTGGGGAAGGTGCAAAGCTGACAAGCACAATGCTAGCTGTTAGCCGCTATTAGCTGAGTCAGAGACACAAAAAATAAAAAATAAATGAGCTAACTGCGCTAGAGGGAGAGGGTTTTTTAAAAAAAAGATTATCTGAAATGTGAATTTGGATTCACGAACTATTAGACTTGACTTTTAAGACGCAGCTAACAACTCAACAATAATAAAATATCAGAAAACCAACGATGGCAGGTTTGTGCTTTTATACTAGCACTCCTGTTTAAATTCAGTCTTGATCCTCTGCTACATTGATTTTACCTTAAAAATGACAATAACACAGATGTTGGGTGAAAATGTGATCCTTTGACTGAAATCAAAAACAGAGTACCTCAAAATTCGGGTGATTTTGTTGTTAACGCATTAGCACTATTTATTATTTATTTACTATAATTTTCACTATTGGTCTGTTGCATTTTAATAGTTTAGCACATTACTACTAATGCTTGTTTTGTTTTACTTCAGGAAAACCTGAATGCAGGACCTTTACTTGTCGTTGATTATTTTTCCATCATAGTTGTACTATTTTTTACTTTATTAGTCAGGGAACATCAATTAACAACCTGGGAATTAGGTAGTAGAAGTAGCCTTGAAGGCTAATTTTAATCCAGATGTTAAAGAAATTGATAACATTTTGGATAATTGTCGATATATATCTCATGTCTGTGCATTACGTATGGAGCTAGGGGATTGGAAGCAATTTGCTTAGTTTAGCTTAGCATAAACAACTAGGTAGAAGAAATGTAAAAATGACAACTTGTGGATTTTGGGGGCGGGGTTAAGAACTGTAACAACAACATTGTTCATCGCTAAGAAGCAGTCACAGCACACAACTCCATGTAAAACAACAAAAATCGAAAAATCCACTACTTAACAATCGATTAAGTTGTATTTAATCTTTTGTGTCACTTCTTAGTCACATAGGCCTATATTTAGTCACATCTTAAGTGCAGTAACATTTAGCTAATATTAACTATCAGATGAAATTTGTCAGCTAATGGTTGATGTAGATTTTGGGGTCGGGGTTTGCTAAGAAGCAGTTACAGCACGCAACTCTTTCTGAAACCACAAACTGATTACATTTTTACCCTGTGGGAAAGAATACTAAAAAGCTTATTTTCCAAAATGTTGAACCTTTTAAATGCACTCTAAACATAGAATTAAATAACTTGTCTTGTACATGTATAAAAGGAGCATTTTACATTTCCAATTACACAGTACTTCACCTAATTAAACTGTCATTGGTTATATTGAGATAAAATGAGGAAACTGTCTGGCATTTGAGAACGTGGGCATTAGCATCTCCTGAAGAAAGCTGTGCTGATGTAAGACTCTAGACTGATGAGTCACCAATCTGGACCGACAGCCTGACTCATCTCAGTCTCTTACTTTCCGCCCCGTGACCCCCGCTGCCCCCGACCTCGCTCTGTCTCTTTCTCAAAGAGTGCTGGGAAATTAGCAAGAAGATGCTTCACGTTTTGTCAAAACTTTTTTTTTAAATTAAAAATAAAAATGAGGGAGGCCAACAGCAAATCACTGCACATTTACTGAAGAGGTTAAAGAGGTCAACCAAAAAAATAAGGTTCTTGGAAAAGTTTTGAAGATGGCGGTGGGACTCAAAGGGAAACATAGATGTGGAGTGGGAAAAGGGCCTGTATGAAGGTCAACTCAAAAGGTTAAAAGGTGAGCTTATTCATGGAACAAAAAACTGGAAAGAAAGGGGACAAAAAAGCTACAGAAGTGCATTGCATTCACCAAAGGAAAAGAATATCCAGATACATTTTCTTGTAATCATGACTTCCATATCTCATGATTATGTTTAACATCTTGTAATTATAAGTAAATAACCTGTGTATTAGACACATTAAGTGATCAGTCAAAATGCTGTTTAATTGGAATTCGTCGCTATGGAAACAACTTGTCTGATTCGGTGTCAGCTGTTGACAACAAAAGATTGCAGTTGTAAACAAACCACTTTATAGTGTTTATTTTCTCTTTGGCTTGATGCTTTAGCAGGTACATAAACACTTGGCTTCAAATGTCACCAGCTCACTAAATGGCTGCTATCAGTTGTCATCTGGAGGACAGATTCGAGGTAGTATGGCCCCACTCTACCTCCTAACTGGCTCTGGTAGGCCATTATCATTTATTGTTAAGTTGGATGTGTGAAACCAAAAGTCAACGTTGACTGAAGTTACATAGCATATTTAAAATACCTCCGGGATGTAACATAAATTACCATCTTTTCCTAAACCAAACCACTTACTTTTGGTCCCTAAATATAACTGAACTGCAACCGCAGCAAGCTTTATTTTGAAAGGGCGTTATTTTATTACATGTTTATTATTGCTTACTTGATTGCGGAATGAGAATATGTTGAAAATATGATAATTTATCAGTGATAATAATAGTAGACGATATATCTTCTGGCCTTCTCGTAGGTGCAGTTCTCCCTGTCTGAAGCATTATAACGGTAAAGATAACCAGATAACGACCATTCAATGGGAATAGCAATTAACCCCTTAAAAATCCAGTTTTCCATTTTTATTTCCCTTTAAGCAGCTTTCTGTTATTCCTCATTCTGACAGTATCATATATCACATTTTTAAAACTCCACAGAGTGTGTATTTTCAGAACAATAGGCCTTCGTAGCAGTGGGCTTTTGTTTTCGGAATAATGGGCTGTGGGACAAATGGGGCATTTTTCCAACAATTGGGGTTTCGGAATAATGTGCAGTCAGAACAATTGGCAGTCCTCCCTCACCGACCCTCTCGAGTGTCCTTATCTTGCTCTTGTTCAAGCTTTTAACTAAGTAATACTTTAAAAATGACTACTAGTACTTTAGTAATCCAGTCTAGTGGTATTTAACTGCAGTATTAACTCTAGTATTTCAAACATTTCAAGGTGAAGGTCTTATAACGTTGAGATGTAAAGCCACAATGACAGGATATGTAAGACGTAAATTTAAGAAAACATGTCAGAAATACTTTTTTCTTTAGTGAATGCAATGTGCTCCTGTAAAAAGACAAAAAAAGTTGAACAAGTCAACTTTTTCCACAAGACTGTAAAAGGGTAACAGGTCCATGACATGGACTTCGGGTCATGAGTAAACTGAAGGAGGATTTTCCAATTTCGGCATTGCCAAACTTCAGTGTTTCACCAAGCTGACTATTCTGTGCTCCTCGAAGCAAAGATCGAAGCCGATTTTCTTTCAATTTTAAAATCAAACATGAGTCATGGTTAAGTTAGCAGTAACTCAATAAAAAAGGTTAAGGTTGTTCTGAAGATTAGGTCAACTGTGTCTATCCCTGCACATTAGTTTGGAGTCTGAAGTGTGCCGGCTGTATAATTCTACAACGGTTCATTACAACCAATTTATAAATTCATACATTTTAAAAAGCTGTCATGAACTTAATTTCATAATTTTTGACATTGAGAACATAGGCTTGACTTAACTCAAGGTCCATTTTCAGAGATTTCAACTGCACCTCGTGGTCTTCCTCAGGGGGATGGAGCTGGATGGATGGAGGCTCCATGTGATGTAGTTGTAAGCTTGAAAAACATAAATCTACTATATATTGATTAAGTTAATGTTTAACTAGCTAATTTATATAAAACATTAACTGGCTACTTACCTAGCATTTTAAATGTTAGCTAACTAATTATCAATCACTAGTTACATCTGAAAGCAAATGTTAGCAAAACTTTAGCTAACTAACAATTGATGTAAATGTTAGCTATCAGTTGTTACTTGCTAGCAAGCGTTGACGCAAATTAGCTAGCTAGTTAGTTGCTTTTATCTTTTAACCATCTTCAAAATGTGATTCTGTTTTCAAAAGTTGGCTGAGAGTTGCTCAACTGTTATTGGAGCACAGAGCAATTAATTAATTAATTGAATTAATATTTTTAAATATTGAATTAGTGAATCATCTAATGCAAATTAAATGTAGTTGTTGTTGCTGTAATTAAACAAACTGAATTCATAATTATTCTGGTGGCACGCTTCAGACTCCATTCACTGGAAGACCAAATGAAGGAAAGTACTGAAAGGAAAGAAAACCCTGGACCAGATTATCTATATATCTCAAGTGCCTTTAGCTTACTCATGATGGGGGAAAAAAATAGTTGGTTCTTGTTTTGCTTCTGAAAATCTTCATCTAAGAATAGATATGAGGAGGGAGAAAGAGAAAGGAAAAAAAACAGTTATCTGTCTAAACCCCAGCTACCTTCTCTTCCAGGCTGGAGTCTTTAAACATCAGTGAGAAAGGCTTGATATGCTCTCTTCTCAACTTATCGCCACTCCGTAAGTCGATGGCGCTCTCTATTCGCTTGTTAATTTCCTCAGGACCAGAGTGGACATGCAAAGCTTGTGCGAGATGGTTTGGAAGCAGATTTATCGAATTTCTCGTTAGGGCAGCCAGAGTCTAGGGGGAAAGCACATGCACATAGAATGAACCTGCTTGTCCCCCTTTTGTTTCATTCAAGTTACAAAAATGAAAAAAGAAGAACAGACACACAGTTACGTTCATTACATACACAAAAGAAAACAAAGAAAATTTAAGGAAAAGGAAGAAAAGGGAAGACCAAAATGCAACGATCGCTATCAGACAGCACAGTAGCAAGTCATGCATCTCTCATTCACTCACTGCATGTTCACTGTGCATTGATGTTAGTGGTGACAAAGCTTGTAATATGCATACATTATAACAAAGCTGTAATTTATGTCCAGAACTGGACAGAACTGTGCTTGGGAAGGGG